GCTCCAGAATCTTCCACTGCAGTCCTATCTGATGTGCCAGACATTCCAGCTCAAAGAGAACATGTTGATCCAATTAAAATCTTCACCAGAGACTATGTGCCATTTCATATAAGAGCTAATTTTCCTGGATATGATCGAGCAAGGATCCGAGAGCCTTATCTAGAAGATATCTACTTTGGAATCTTCATCCGACATAGAAAAGTGCTAAGTGGCGACAAAGTTCTAGGTATTCATAAGCAAACAAGGGAATATCATACCGAATACCGTCATCTTCTGAAAGCCAAGTGTCAACCAATCAGTGAAGTTCATACAAAGCATCGGATTGTGACGATCAAACAAATAGATGCTCAAAAATTGTTGAGAATCTGGTATCCTGTTTTCACTGTAACAAGGCAGGATGGTCAGATTTGGAGATTCAGCGAAKCWGACTTCTCGAACTTATACTTAGATGACCTTGAATATAYGTATTTTGAACTAAAAAACATGACGATCAGAAAAGAAGGAGAATTGGTTGCTCTTGAAGCAATCAAGAGGTTTATACGATGTCATGTGAAACTGGCAATRGTSATTGATGTACAGATGGGGCTTGAAGACAATYAGYRAATCATCAATCTTAAAAGACCGAATCAAGACCTAGAAGAYAYTGAAGGCTATCCAGTGCATATGGTTCTTGAAAGCCCAGAGTTCGGGGTCGTCTATTTTGCACAACTACAAGTAAAGAAGTTCATGAGGTTTAGCGAGTTGAATAAATATTCTGACGGTACGATCAAATTAGTGAGAAGGGCACTTGACTTGAAGARGGTGATGAACGATAAAGCTGCTGAATCTGAACGGATGAGTTCTAAAGAAAGATACTTGCTGATCAATGCAATAAACTTGCTCGAGGAAAATATCCAATATAGGATTGCTCTGAGAAGGCTGGAAAAGATTATTGGACTGCGCAAAACGAAATTCACAAGAGTCCAAACTTGAATCCAAAGGGAGAGAATGTTGGGTTCAAGTTAGAGCGTTAAAGTTGTATTCAAGTTTCTCCTTAGAATAGTTTTATTATGTAATAGTGTAGTTTTTCGATTCCTAGTATAAATAGTATTTCCCTTTGTAATTGTCATTAACCAAGTCATTAGCAGATTTGTAATCAAGATTAGAGCTGTAAATTTCTCTCTCTCAATCTAATCATTCTTTGATAATTCTCTCTCTACTTTTATGTACATCTTGATTCTTGAAGATCATATCATGTTTGTATGATTTCTGGACTTAACACATCAGCTCAAAGTCAAAGAAGAGGACATTGCCAAAACAGCTGTTCGAACCAGGTACGAACATCATGAATTTTTAGTTATGCCATTCGGTTTAACTAATGCACCTGCAACCTTTATGGATCTAATGAATCGGGTATGTATAGAATATCTTGATAAATTCGTTATCGTATTTATTTATGATATTCTCATATACTCTAAAACTGAAGAAGAGCACGGACAACATCTCCGTCTGATACTCGAACTTCTAAAAAGAGTAAAGTTGTATGCGAAGTTGTCCAAGTGTGAATTCTGGTTAAGAGAGATTCAGTTCCTAGGTCAAGTTATATTAGAAGTAGGGGTAAAAGTGGATCCAACAAAGATAGATGTAGTCGAGAAATGAGATGCACCAAGGACTACTTCCAAAGTCCGAAGCTTTCTGGGATTGACAGGCTACTATCGTAAATTTATTCAAAATTTTTCTAAAATAGTTGTGCCATTGACCAAATTGACTCGGAAGAATATCAAGTTTCAGTGGGAAGAAGAACAACAAAAAACCTTCCAATTATTGAAAGATCATCTTTGTAGTGCCCCAGTATTGTCTTTACCAGATGGGTTAGCAGACTTTGTGGTTTACAATGATGCTTCAAAACTAGGTTTGGGTTGTGTTTTGATGCAAAGAGGGAAAGTAATTTCATATGCATCCAGACAGTTTAAGGATCACGAGAAACAATACCCAACACATGATATGGAATTGGCAGCAGTGGTATTTGCATTAACAATATAGAGTCATTATCTATTGGGAACAAAGTGCCAGATTTACATCAATCATAAGTGTCTACAACATCTGTTCAACCCGAAAGAGTTAAACATGCGGAAGCTTCGATGGATTGAACTTGTGAGATCCTTTATCACCCAGAAAAAGCCAACGTGGTAGCCGACGCTTTGAGTAGAAAAGAAAGGAGTGGAACAATTAAAACCATGGCAATGAGAATAAACTTAACTCCTGATCTCCATAAAGAAATTTTGAAATGTCAAAAGGAAGCTGTTAAAGAGGATCATATGAAGTCAGAAAGATTGGGTAAAATGATTTCCACACTGGAATCGAATGATGAAGGAATTCTATGCTTTCAAGAAAGAATTTGGGTGCCATGCTATGGGAATATTCGGGAAACTATTTTGAATTAAAGTCATAAGTCCCGCTATTCTATTCATCCAGGTACTAAGAAGATGTATAAAGATCTAAAACCTTTCTATTGGTGGCCCGGATTAAAGAAAGGCATAGCAAGGTATGTGGAACGGTGCATAACATGTCTGCAAGTTAAGATCGAACATCAAAGACCCTATGGAAACCTTCAATCTTTGGAGATTCCCATATGAAAATGGGACCATATTACGATGGATTTTGTCATGAAATTACCCCGAACCCTAAAAAGATATGATGCAATTTGGGTAATAGTGGATCGTTTATCTAAATCTGCGTATTTCCTACCAATAAGAGAAGGTTATTCTTTAGAGAGGTTGGCTTAGATTTATATCAAAGAAATTGTAACCAGACACGGTGTCCCACTATCCATCATCTCTGACAGAGATAGCCGCTTTACTTCAAAATTCTGGAAAAGTTTGCAAAAGGCTCTAGGGTCTCAAATTCGATTAAGCACAACATATCATCCACAAATAGACGGGCAAAGTGAGAGAACCATCCAGACTCTCGAAGATATGTGAAGAACTTATGTTATTGATTTTGGGGGATCATGGGAGATCATTTGCCATTAATAGAGTTTGCCTATAATAATAGCTATCACTCCATCATTCAAGCGGCACCGTATGATGTTTTGTATGGACGTAAATGTCGAATGCCGTTATGTTGGAATGAGGTGGGTGAGAGACAGTTGATAGGTCCTGAAATTGTTCAAGTAACTTCTGAAAAAGATTGAACAAATACGTGAAAGAATCAAAACAACACAGGACCGCTAAAAAAGCTATGTGGATAAACGTCGAAAACCAATTGAATTCTATGTGGGTGATTTTGTGATGCTAAAAGTTTCTCCATGGAAATGTGTTATTAGATTTTGAACGAAAGGTAAGCTCAATCTGAGGTATATTGGGCCATTCAAAATTTGCAAACGGGTTGGGCCAGTGGCTTATCAGTTAGAACAACCGGAAGAACTCAACTTAATTCACAACACTTTTCATGTGTCAAATTTGTAGAAGTGTTTAACCGATGCAAGTCTAGTAGTACCGCTTCCAGAAGTTAAACTAGACAGTAAACTGAACTTTGTGGAAATACCAGAAGCTGTAACTGACTGAAAATTAGGGTGTTGCGGAACAAAGAAATTAGTTTGGTAAAAGTATAGTGGCGTTTTCACAAGGGTTCAGAAGCAACATGGGAGTTAGAGTCTGAAATGAGAATCAGATACCCTTGGCTGTTTGATTAAATGAATTTCGGGACAAAATTCTTTTGAGGGGTAGATAATGTGATAACCAGGATTTAAGACAACAATGGTTGGGGTAATCTTTGTGTGATTATTATGTGAATATGTGATATTGTGCATACATGAGAATTAATAAAATATATGTGTATGCATATTCTTGGTTAAGTAGGAAAGATTTAAAAATAGTAAACCTCCACCGCCTTATGAATATTATAATATTAAAACTTTACACTGCCTATGATAATATATATATAAAGGAGATAAGATCAATCTTATCTTATCTTTTGGGAAATCTTTGAGAAAAAGAAAAGTGTGTATGTGGCGGTGAAGGTGTGTTCTTGAAAGAAAACCTGCATAAAAGTGATTTGAATATTATGTGTTGATTATCTGAAACCTTGCTGTGTGATCTATCATCAAATCTGTTCATAAGGTGAGCTTTGTTATTAAAATGCTTATATGGTGTTATTTGAAATATATGAACTTCAATAGAGGATTTGATGAAGAAAGGTAAACTGCTCTAGCAGTTGATTTGAACTTTATAAATCTTGGTTTTGGAACTGTTATTGAAAAATAAAGAAGGTTCTGCTTCTTTTAAATAGTTGAAGATGATATCCTATTTTTGAGGAT